CCCGAGCCCGCACCCTGCCGTCACCTGCCCACCTGGCGGTGGAAACAGCACCCAGGCCGAGAACGGCGGCCGGGCCACCACGACCGTGTAGTTGGTCACGGTGCACGGGGACGTGAGGCGCATGTAGCAGTGCTCGCAGCGGTCACAGTCGTCCATGGCTCCCTGCGGGAGACACAGGGCAGGGCCGTGGCTCGGGAGGCTGAGGCAGGAGGGTCTGCACGAGCCAGGGGCCGTGAGCGCTGGGGCTGAGCAGGGCGCCTCCTGGCACATGGAGGCGTGTCTGTTCACTTTTATTTTCATTCTCTTTGCGTTTCTGAGACGGTGCTTCCCTGGGCAGCTCAGGCTGCCTCGAGCTCACGGTGCAGCCCACGCTGGCCTGCAACTCGCAGCGACCCGCCCGCCTCAGCCTCCCGAGCGCTGGGAGACGGACGCTCATCCCACTGCGTCCTTGCAGTCCGTCCTCCGAGGTTTCCTCCCGCGCCCTCCTGGGCCGGGGGAGCTCCTACACCCTGGCGGCGGGCTGCCCCGACGTGTGCTCTGCAGGAAGCGCCAGGCTGATCCCGCTTCCTCTCGGGGTCCCTCCAGAAGCCCCAGAAGGGCCGCCCCGAGGGGAGGGTGCTGGGCTGCCGCGGGCGAGCTGCCCCTCCGGCTGTTTGCTCATTGGCTTCCTGCGCCCAGAGCCTCGGGCTGCGGCGGTGGGGGACGGGTGCCGTGAGCTGGGGCAGGTACGCTGGGCCCCCGGGGTGGTGCGACCCCCAGGACCGGGCTCTTCCGAGAAAGGACCTGAAGACGCGGCACGCGGGAGGAAGCACACGTGGGACACGGGGCGGAGCCGCGTCGGCAGCCCAGGGAGGGTCACGGCCGGCCGGGCGCTGCGCACTGGCTCACCATGGGGTAGCTGCTTTTGAAGCACTGGATGCCGGACGCGTTCCCCAGCAGGTCCCAGCTCAGCGTCGCGTTTTCGGGGTCCACCCTCAGGTTCCCGATGGGCGCAGCCACCCCTGCGGGGGTTGGGGGAGCTGGTCAGGTCAGGCGGAGCCGGCTGCTGCGCGGGGCTCGCAGCCATCCAGCATGCAGGAGGCTGAGGCAGGACGGGCGCGGCGAGGTCGAGGCCAGCCTGGGCCACCCAGCGAGTCTCTGGCCCGAAAAGACAACACGATAAAGTGCGGCTGGCTCTGGCCTCCTGAGCCAGGAGAGCCAGGCCTTGAACGCGCCGCCACCACCCCGGGCAAACTGTTTCAACAACGTTTTTGCTCTCGGGTCTGCTTGTGCAGGCGTTCCCAGGCGCGGAGCTGGGCCTTTCAGCGGTGCTTCCTTCTCTGAT